AAAAAAAATTGTCAAAAAATATGCAATCAACCATTGCTCCATTGCACTACATCCAAATACATCGGAAGAACATACTTTTTTGAATTTTCCACTGGAATTATCAATAAATTTCCTATAGCTTTCTTCTGGAAAAGTTCATGCTCCCCAACAACACCATCGCTCCTTTTATGGCCTGTTTTAGATCTATATCTTTAATTAATAGGTAATATTCAGACCGCTTGAGCCTTTACTCAACGATCGAGATTTCACCAGGAACGGACGCGAAATGAGTATTTGTTTGTAGGGGCGCCCAAGTTCGTAGGACGGGCTGCCCATGAGTGGCTAGGGGGCTATTCAGAGTAGGAAATAAAAGAGAATATTTCAGTGACTGTATGAAGTGAATGTCATGACGGAATACTAGGGATGTGGTTCAACAAGCCTCTTCCTGTTGTCTTCGTGGGGTGGTGAACTCCCCTTCGTTTGGAATTCTAGAAACCAAACCGAACGATCGTTTTTAGCGTGCCCCTTTTCGTTGGAAGGGCAACCATCATGTATGGTCTTTTTACTTCGAAAATTGAAAACAATAAATTTTCTAAAAACAAATTGCTATCAAACCAAAAACCTCTTGCACTTGAAAAACCAACCGATGTAATGAGACCGATGGCTGTGTTCACTTTCTCGTTCAGGAATTGCCATTACCCGAATATGATAGCTAAGTACTGCCGAGTCGCATTTGGGTGTTTCCCATTGTAGAGAGAGATCTTTCACGCAATGTGGGAATATACTGTCATTTCGAAGTTGCAGGGAAGCTTTCGACGTCTCGTTCACAAGAATTTGATTGTTCGACTAAAAAAAGAAATTATTCGGCAGGATCCATCTCTATCCCTATTACTTCCTATATGTTCCACTCAAATCGCAGCATTTGTAATTACCTTCAGTATCCCAAGGGGGTATTGGCATCGGGCAATTAATCTTGTCATTAATAGATCCGAGGAAATTCCATTTCCCCTCTCCGTCAGAAAGTACGACTAACCGATGAACGTAAAGATAAAGAAAAAATAATGCGCGAGTGGACGGTGCACGTCGGAATCGGCTCATGAGGCTCCACTGCGCGGAAAGATTAACCGCACCCGTCTGGAATCTGCCAAAGCGAATTTTTCGCGCGCCAAGACTTGAATACGGTTGAGTTGCAATCCTACAGTACTCTGTGAAGTTTTATTTTTCTCAGTACTTTAAATCTGATCCCAGACTTGTGAGGAAACAAATTCTCAGCTCATTGACAATAAAATTAAATACATTCCTCAGTTCATAAAATCCCAGGTTCGTCATGGGTCCCACGATTTTACCCTTGCACCGCCCGCTTCACTCGATTGCTGCTACGGCTCGGCTCCATTTCCCCACCTTTGGTTTCCTCGCTGGGCTCCCCAGCCTCCCTGAGAAAACGAGACGGTGCCAAGGTGCCATTGCCATGACATCCATCGCGATTTCTGAGCCATTCATAGCCATTTTCACATGGAAATAATGTCATCGGGT